GCTCAATTCAGTACGTTATGCCAAATTTCGTGCAAATCGAAAGATATATAGCGACTTTGGAGCACCATTTACATGAAATCGGACGAAACTATATATGGGAGCTATATCTAAATCTGGACCGATTTTCTCGAAACTTGGCAGACATCATTCTAGGCTCAATTCAGCACGTTATGCCAAATTTCGTGCAAATCGAAAGATATATTGGGTCTTTGGTGCACCATTTACATGAAATCGGACGAAACTATATATGGGAGCTATATCTAAATCTAAACCGATTTTCACGCAAATTGGCAGACATCATTCTAAACCTTATTCATTACCCTGTGCCAAATTTCGTGCAAATCGAAAGATATAAAGGGACTTTGGTACACCATTTAACCTAAATCGGACGAAGATATATATGGGAGCTATATCTAAATCTGAACCGATTTTCAGGAAACTTAACACACATCATTCTAGACCTAATCCATTTCGCTATGCCAAATTTTGGGCAAATCAAAAGATATATAGTGACTTTGGTACACCATTTACCTTAAATCGGACGAAAATATATATGGGAGCTATATCCAATTTTAGGAAACTTAACACACACCATTCTCGACCCTATTCATTACCCTGCGTCAAGTTTCATGCGAATCGAAAGATATATAAGGACTTTGGTACACCATTTACCTTTAATCGGACGAAAATATATATGGGAGCTATATCTTAATCTGAACCGATTTTTCCCAATTTCAATAGGGTTCGTCCTTGGGCCAATTAAGTCACCTGTGCCAAATTTCATCCAACTCGGATCATAAATGCGACCTGTACTTTGTTAACAAAAATACATGGACGGACAGACGGACATGCATAAATAGACTCATACAAACATATGCACAAAGGCATAATACCCTGTACCACAGTGTGGTGAAGGGTATAAAAAAACAAAAAATCCAAGGATTCAAAACAGTGATCACTTGTTTTCATAGTCGCTTTAATAAATATTATTAATAATTTTTTATTAAAGTCTCTTTTTAAGTAAAAAAATCTCATTTTATATTAATGACATATTTCCATAGCTAGCAGCAGCTACATATGTATCTAGCTGTTTGGTCTTGGTCTACAATTGGTCTTAAAACCTAAAATTATGTGTCATTTGTTCATTTTGTGCAATGACATCAATATGTATGTCGCCCATAAGTTTATCTTTGCTTTGTTGGTGTTGCTGTTGTTGTCTTCAAGTTTTTTTTGTTTTAAATTCATGTTAAAGTATTTAATTTCCTTGCAATCGCCGGTCGGACTCTATTGGCAATTGTTGCTTATGGCAGCGTTTTTTTCTGTTCATCCGCTCAAAAATTGTCTAACGTCTAACGCGTATATACATACACATGTAAGTATGTGTGTATGTGTATGTTTGCTTAGAAACTATCAATTAATGTCTATTTAAATTGACCATAAATATGTGGTTAATATTGTTAGTTTGTTTTTTTTTTCACATTTTCTGTGTGCTGCGAGAGTTTCCACTATCAACTGACCAAAATGAAAAACAACAGCAACAAAAACTACGACCAGAGTAATCAATAGTATTTAATAGAGAAGCAAAAAAAAAAACTGAAAAACTTATTGACGTTTCTAATACTCGGTTATCGACACATTCTACGCCAGCCTCGCTGCTGCTTTTGTGGTTAGCCAACAGAACTCGTGTCTAAAATGCCTGTAAATCTGACACTTTTTGTTAATGTGTTTCGAAGTTTTTTGTTGTTGTTTTTGGAAAATTTATATACCAGGATTTATTCAAAAACCTAGATTTTGTTCGGCATGTGTTAGCGCCATTTTTGTGGGGAGAAATATTACCGAAGGTCCATTTTCGAATATTGATATTTTTAAATATTTGTTTTTAATCTTGTCACAGGGTGACAAAATTGTTAAATATATTGACAATTTTCTCCAGGAATATATGGTATTAAAAAGGGAGGAAGCGGGTGTAACAATTTTGATACTCAGAATAATAGTTTTATTTGCAGGCATGCTGAGACTTTTGGTGATGTATGTTTCCTAATAAAAGTAGGGTTTATTTTTCTTGTCTACCTCTCGGTTTTCAGAATTTGTCGAGCTCTGTAAAAAAATTTTAAAATTTTCCCAGACTTATTTAAATTTATTTTATTTTATCTTTGTTGTATTAGTTTGGCTGTAGGCTTTTTAAAGTAAAAATCGTTTTTAATTTTGATTTTTAATATTTATTGTTTCCAATATTTCGATTGGATTCTCCAATCATCCTCAGGGAACTACAATTACATATATTTTAACAGATTGAAAAAACAATGACAATATGTAAATAAACTTACTTGAAGAAAGTTATGTTGTCTTTAAGTCAACGTTCTTGCTTCAACTAAAGTCTAACAGATTTGTATTTGTTTACTGTGTGTCTATAGATTTGAGCGCAATTGTCTGTGTCGGTTTTATAATTGAGTCGAGTGTCAAGTGGAGTGTTGATTATGTGCAACATCTCAAGAGTAAACCTTTTTTGATAATTACTTTCTTGAGTTAGAATTTTTATGTCATTAAAATCTGGGGTATGTCCGGATTTTGTGCAGTGTGCTGCAAGAGCTGTTTTTTGCTCTATGGGTTTGTAAAGAGCTTTTTGATCCGATTTATGTGCGGATATTCTTGTCTTTAATTTAGTCTTAGTAGTGCCAACATATACCTTTTGGCATACGTTGGACTAGTCTCCCTTACATTTAATGCGGTATACTACGTTGGATTATTTTATTTTAATTTTCTAAATATATTATACCAGTTTCCTATTAAAAAAAATCGAAATACGTAATTTAGTAATCTCAGCAGGTTTTGTATTACAGACTAAAATTTTCCTATTAATAACAAATATCGTAATATAGGCGTGAAAATGTTTGCCCGTGACCAGTCAGGCTTCTATTGCTGAAATGCATTTATTTTGTACTACCATTTTTATGCTTCGTTGCAAAAAAATTGTGTTAATTTTTTTAAGAAAATACATCATAAATCATGGTGATTGGAATAGAAAAAAATCGAAATACGGTATTGGCGAACAAAAAAATGTATTACAAATTTAGCGCCAGCACTTTTATAGTACAACTTGCAACAAGGTGGCACACACACTCAATTAAAAAAAAAAAAAACAATATAAAATTATTTTTTTTTATAAAAAATAATAAATAAAATACAAAATATGTATATATCTTATAGGAAGATTTCCCACCCAACGGCAAACGAAAACATCAAATAGGAGACAATTCATTTGAAAAAAATTACCAGCATACCAATAATACCGAATATTAGGGTGTGTCATTGTATGCTGTCTACCACCAAAAATGTCTTAAAAATCTATAAGTGACTCCTGGTGGGCTTCTCGACAAAAATGTTCTTGTTAGATCAAGAAAAAATATTTTTAAAAATCCCAAAATTTTAACTTGGGGCACTGATAGTCCTTAAAAATATTCTTAAAAATCCATTAAAAATATTCCTATGGTTATGGCTCAAATTGTCAGTGAACAAAATATTCTTTAAAAATCCGAGTTTATGGCTTTAATAGTCTTTAAAAATCCACGCTTTTGATAGTCCTTGAAACAAAATCTTTAAAAATCGAAGCCTATGGGTCTGATAGTCCTTGAAACAAAATTTTTAAAAATTGAAGCTTATGGGTCTGATAGTCCTTGAAATAAATAATCTTTAAAAATACACGCTTATGAGTGTGATAGTTCTTGCAAAAATTTAATCTTTAAAAATACACGCTTATCGGTCTGATAGTCCTTGAAAAAAAAAAAATAATCTTTAAAAATCCACGCTTAGGGGTCTAATAGACCTTGCAAAAAATATTATTTAAAAATCCACGCTTAGGGGTCTAATAGACCTTGCAAAAAATATTATTTAAAAATCCACGCTTATGGCTCGGATAGTCCTTAAAAAAATATTCTATAAAAATCCACGATAATGGTTCTGAAAGTCCCTTAAACATATTCCTTACAAAAATCCACGTTTATGGAGCAGATAGTCCTTGCAAAAAATTCTTTAAAAATCCACTCTTGTGGCTCTGATAGTTCTTGAAAAAATAATCTTTAAAAATCTGCGCTTATGAATCTGAAAATCTTTGCAAAAAATATTCGTTAAAAGTTCACACTTATGGCTCTTATGAAATATTATTTTAAAATCCTCGCGTATGACTCTGATAGTACTTAAAAAAGTATTCTATAAAAAAATCCTCGCTTATGGCTCTAATCATCATTGAAAAAATATATTCTTTAAAAATCCAACCTTATGGCTCCTATAGGACTTGAGGAAATATTCTTTAAAAATCCAAAAAAAAAATTGTCATAAAAATCCGAACTTATGGCTTTTAAAAATTAAATAAAACGTCAAACAAAAATTTTAGTTTTTAACATACAAACCTTCCCTCTCGAGCGTGTACAACAAAATTTCAAAGTTCCATTTAACAAACATGTGTTATATATATTCCCCTTCTACGCTCCTAGACATAATTAGGAGACATATTAGGAGACATGATTAGACATAATTAAAGCTTTAGACATTCTTCCATTCGTATATATACACAGCATATATATTTTTTCAATGACAAACTAAAACTATTTTCAAATCTAAAAAATAATTACACATACATGTGTACCATATCGCATTGTCATATATATGGCTATGCGTACAATTGTGCGTCTGAATGAGCGAATCAAATCGATTAATGCAAAGCTAGACAATGCTGTTCTGTTTCGAACCGTTCTTGGGCCATTATAAATAATACAGACTGATGACTGGACTGACTGACCGACTGTCCGCACCGATAAATACAATGTTTCACAAAAGAATGAAAGAGAAAAAAATGAAAGGAATGAAGAAATTGAAATGAATAATTACACACACATACATATGTGTACATACTCTAATTAATTAATACTATTATTTGCGTTGTTTGTCAAATAAAAAAATATTTATCGTAATTTTTTCTGTTTTTCTCTTCCTCTCTTCTGTAGATGCCTGCGGCTTATCTGATGTCAATCACATAGAATCCCTGCAAGAGAAATCGCAATGCGCCTTGGAAGAATATTGCCGGACGCAATATCCAAATCAACCAACGCGGTTTGGTAAATTACTTTTAAGGCTGCCATCATTGAGAACGGTTTCCTCACAAGTAAGTAGAAATTAACATTAAAAATTCTGGTCTGCACCTTAAACATATTTTGTTTTTAATTCGTGCCTTATTTGAACGTCCAAAGAATAATGAAAAAAATCCAAAGAATGATTAAAAAATTACTTCCATTTTGAACATAAAAAATCCTCGTTCATTTGGAATTTTTAAAAAAAATACACGCCTTATTTGAAACTTGGAAAATATTAAAAAAAACTCCACGCCTTTTTTGAACCTTGAAAATGTTATCTTCTTTACCGTTATTAATTTCCTTTTTTTGTCTCTTCTAATCTTTCCTTCCAGGTCATTGAGCAATTATTTTTTGTGCGTCTAGTCGGTAAAACACCCATTGAAACATTGATACGCGACATGCTGTTGTCCGGCAATAGTTTCTCTTGGCCATATTTACCATCGATGTGACACACAATGTGGAGACAATTGACAACGACATGATCATCCACGGCGGCAGCAGCTGTTGCAGCGGCAGTTGCAACTAGCCAACAGCAACAGCATCAACATTATCAGCAGCAGCAGCAACAACAACAGCAGTATCAACAACAACAACAGCAGCAGCAACAATATCAGCTACAGACACAACAGCATCTTAAATCCGCATCATCCACTTCACCATCCTCATCACCCGCACCACCACCACCACCAACAGTTGCAACATGGTGGTGTTTATGGCAGTTTTGCTGCAGCCGCAGCAGCTTCAGCTTTGGCTGGCAGTTCCAATACAAATGATTTTAGTAATTTGCCTAGTGGTTCCATGGACCATGGCAGTGCTGCCATGGAAACAAGTTTGGATAGAATGGCCAATGGTACGGCAACAGCCACTGCAAGTTGTGGCAACAGTGTGAGTAGCAGCAGCAGTAGTAGCAGCAGTGTTAGTGGGGTAACTTCAACGGCCACGACGGCAGCTACACCACCCCCATCCACAACAGCAACAACATCTGTTGCGGGAGCTTCGGAGAATGTGAGCACTGGTGCGGGTGCAGGAGGTGGTGTTGCTGTTAATTATGCTCCAACATTTTTTGGCAACGATTATCATCATCAATTAACCCAATCGGCTTTAATGGCCAATAGCACAACATATGCAGCGGCGGCAGCAGCCTCCAGTACGGCCATGTTAACAAATTATTGTGATGCTGCCATGATGATGGCGGCGGCAGCTGTTAATGCCAATCAATGTCTGCAACAGCAACAACAGCGCATTGCCTTAATGGCCAACTGTCAGAGTGCAATGGATGAGCATGAATTTACAAATTTCACCAAAGATGTGGTGACGGCAGCCTTGTCATCGGGCGGATCATCGATGTGCTCTATGTCCAATAGCTCGGTGTCAGTATCCGCAGCACATAAAGTAACAATGGATACAAAAGCAAGTGAAAATTCCTCTGCGGAAAAATCCCCTTTATCGTCTGCCAAGGTTAGCCAGGCTTTTAAGGCCAAAGAAGAGCTGAGTAGCCAAACCATTGAGGGTTCGGATACGCCACCACCAAATTTCATCGATATCAGTGAAGTTCCTCTTATTGTGGATGTCAAGTAGTAGCCAAGAAAATTTCCTCGGTTTTTTCTATGGGTATGGAAAAAATGTTGAAATTTCAATAAAAAAAAAATAATAAAATTTAAAAAAAAAATATGAAAAAAAATATTTCTTCTTAAAAAAAATCTCAAATTCATAAAGAAAAAAAACATAGTTAAATACTGTAAAAAGCTGAAAAGATAGTTAAAATTTTAAACTTTTGTTAAACACAAAACTTTTGTAAATTATTTTAATTTTTATAATTTATTTTATATAAAAAAAATAATATTTTTTTAAGAATCTCAAATGAAGTCATTGTTTTAATTTTTTTCAATTAAAAAAAAGGCCGGAAAAAAGAAAATTTCTTTTTTTCAAATTTAGTCTCAAATTTCTAATGCTCAAAATTTTTTGAAAATTTTTAATAATTTTTTTAATTTCCATGGCTTCAAATAAACATATCTTAGTTCTAATTACAAAAATCACAAAAAAAGACACAAATAACAACAACAAGTCCCCCCTCAATAAAAAAAGTAATAAAAATAATACGTGTAACGTATTGCATTTGTTTTTGTAGATATAAACCAAAATGTCCAAAACTGTAAAAAATAATAATATATTATGTAAAAAAATAATAAAAATTATAATTATAAGTAAAAAAAAAAATAAAATGTAAAAATAAGAAAAACAAAAAATAATCTTATAAAATAATAAAACAAAACAAACAAACCGAAGGCGCATTATATAAATATATAATTATATATATAAAAATATAGTGACCAGGCACTTAATTATACTTAATATTTGTAAATTAATAAATAAATTTAAAAAATAAAAATATATTATATATAAAAATAATTAAAATAAAATCTGTATTTAAAAAATAAACTTAAAAAACATAAAATATATATAGCAATAAATAAATGTGTGTATAAATTTATAAAACAAAAGTTTTTCCTTAGATAAAAAAATAGACTTAATTTTGTTTGTTTAATTATTATTTTTTTTGTAACTATACTTTGCACAATTATACCAAAAAACCAAACACACACAAACACACTTTATGCTATACTATTTCTTTATTAACATTAGTCTTTTATAGTAAATGAAAAAAAAACTGATTATTGTGGCAATTTAATTTTAAATTTTTTTATGTATAAAAGAAAATTTTGAAATATTTTTATTTTCAAAAAAACAAGTCTTATACATATATTTTTTTAAATTTCATCTTAAAGGTGTTAATTTTGAAATTAAATTTATAAAATTTATTTAATTTCTTTTTTTTTTGTTTTGTTTTTTTTTCTCCTCTCAAATTGCAATCAAACAACAAACCAGTGCAACAACTATTAATTATTTAATACCACTATTTCTAATATTTACCACAGAATACTATTTAAGTTATGTTTTTTCGTCTTCTTCTTTTTTATATAAAAAAAAGAAATCAGTTTATATATACATTATTATTATTGATAAATAAAAAAAACATTAATTTGTAATTGTTTATTGAAAAAAAACTTTTTCTGTTGTTTTATTTTATTTTTTTTGGGATTTGTTTTTAAAGGGCAAAGGAAAAAAATCCAAAATAAATTTTCGAATTTCAAGGGGTAAGTAAATCCAATGGAAGTGCCTATAGTTTCAACATCAAACCCCTTAAAATAATTCCGAATTTGATTAGTCTGAACATAGAGTTTCGTAAATAGAATACATACAATATTTTTAAATCAGTGAGCGGAGCAGTATGGTCTGACGGGGCCGACCATATGATACCCTACACACAATTACCACTGAACATTAACTTTCTGCAGATGCCGAGACTAGCTAATGTTACATGGCATTAGCACCCTCTAGTGTGATAATGGTAATACAAAACACTACTAAAATTTTTAGACCCACATCCAGGAGTGAAAATTTAATTTTTAGACCATTTTAGGTTCTGATATCTTCTGGCATGTTTAACCCTACGGTCAATAACCGGGTACATTTGTACCTTTTTTCGCATAAAAATGCTGTAAAACTTTTAATAATGGAGATATTTGGGTCAAATTTTGAGGAATCATTCTTGAGGTATTTTCACACGTAATTGAAGAAAAAAATTATAAATATTTTCCATATATATAATTTTTAACATTTTTTAAAGTTATTAACTACGTAGATCAATAATCCTGGTACATTTGTACCCATCCAAAGATAGCTTTGTAACTTATTAAAAAATTGGACTATCGTGAGGTTTTTATACCTTTCACCACACTGTGGTACAGGGTATTATGTCTTTGTGCATATGTTTGTAACAGGCAAAAGGAATCGAGATAGACCCATAGTTACTTTTGAGAATATGCATAGAATCACTTTCTGAGTCGATTTACGCATGTCCGTCTGTCCGTCCGTCCGTCTGTCCGTCCGTCCGTCCATGTATTTTTGTGAACAAAGTACAGGTCGCATTTATGATCCGAATTGGATGAAATTTGGCATAGGTCACTTATTCGGCCCAAGGACGAACCCTATTGAAATTGGGAAAAATCGGTTCAGATTTAGATATAGCTCCCATATATATATTTAACCGATTTAATGTAAACGGTCCCTATATATCTTTCGATTTGCACGAAATTTGGTACAGCCTAATCATTTAGGTCAATAATGATGTCTGCCAAGTTTCGTGAAAATCGGTCCAGATTTAGATATAGCTCCCATATATAGTTTCGTACGTTATTGCCAAGTTTTATGAAAATCGGTCCTGATTTAGATATAGCTCCCATATAATGCCTAACGGATGACCTATTTATATTTGTTTGAAATCGATTTACATACTTAATGGATAGATCTAGGTAGACTCACATTTAGATAAATATCACATATTTTATTTCATCCAATTTCATGTTAATAGTCCTGTTTAATGTACCCATAGTGGTGAAGGGTATCATATAGTCGGCCCCGTCCGACTTTACTACTTTCCTTACTGGTTTATTTTAAATTAGTCCCTGTATACCACAGAAAACTATAGGCGTCGTCTTTGGTTATAACAGGAACTTCCTGAACAATTTCATTGCGATCAGCGCGACTTTTACGCCATCTAGTATGGCAATGGTAATACTAAACAATATCAGAATAGTAAGACCCCGGTAAATATTTACGTATAACTCCCGCATCCGAGTACATAAAAAAACCAGTAAGGAAAGTAGTAAAGTCGGACGGGGCCGACTATATGATACCCTTCACCACTATGGGTACATTAAACAGGACTATTAACATGAAATTGGATGAAATAAAATATGTGATATTTATCTAAATGTGAGTCTACTGGTTTCGTCCGATTTCATGTAAATGGTGCCCCAATTACATGAAATCGGACGAAACTATATATGGGAGCTATATCTAAATCAGGACCGATTTTCATGAAACTTAGCAGGTATCATTCTAGGCTCAATTAAGTACGTTATGCCAAATTTCCTGCAAATCGAAGGATATCTGGGGACTTTGGGGCACCATTTACATGAAATCGGACGAAACTATATATGGGAGCTATATCTAAATCTGGACCGATTTTCACGAAACCTGGCAGACATCATTCTTGACCTAAATGATTAGGCTGTACCAAATTTCGTGCAAATCGAAAGATATATAGGGACCGTTTACATTAAATCGGTTAAATATATATATGGGAGCTATATCTAAATCTGAACCGATTTTTCCCAATTTCAATAGGGTTCGTCCTTGGGCCGAATAAGTGACCTATGCCAAATTTCATCCAATTCGGCTCATAAATGCGACCTGTACTTTGTTTACAATTTAACATGGACAGACAGACGGACAGACGGACGGACGGACATGCATAAATCGACTTAGAAAGTGATTCTATGCATGTTCTCAAAAGGAACCATGTGTCTATCTCGTTTCCTTTTGCCTGTTACAAACATATGCACAAAGACATAATACCCTGTACCACAGTGTGGTGAAGGGTATAAATATAATTAGTCTCAAATTTGGAGGTCAGCCACTCATCTTGTATATATATTGTCAACTTCTCTGGTCTATGACCTTGAGGAATAAATATATACTA